ATACTGGAAATATAGATGACCTAATCTATAATTGGGATTCTTGTTGGGCAATATAACATGTGATGTCGATCGGAGTCTCAAGATATCAGACTCTAGTAAATGACATGGTACAAAAGCAAATTCTGTTCACTGAACTATCTTATTTTCTTCTTCAATAAAATAGAATAATTTAGTTTGTCAATAATATCGTTTGGTGATCTGGAGGCCAAGTAGTCGTCATGAAACTTAAACGTTCAGCGTTTCTTTGGAAGCATGTGACTGAGATGTCCCATATTCAAATGAACCAAGTATTCATTGCGTCCTGATTTCCACTGATGATTGTCTAGCAAATGTTGATTTTCAATATAAACTTTGTGTTGAATCGGCTTCCGAGAACTACAATGGAGCCTCCAGAAACCCTAAACGAGCCGAAGAGTTTCAGCCAATCAGAGCATGAGGGAGCATTCTAGAATATTAACGTGGTATGCTACTATTGGTCAGTAGTATATTATGTCTCTTAGCAGATTGACCAAAATATAATGTTGATTTGACAAATGCTAATTATCTATAAATACCCGTGTTTTTCTGCACAAAAATGAACCTTTGGAGTAAATTGTTTTTCGCTTATATTGCGCCTTTTCTCTCAAGTTCAGGTCACTGCATAGTTCTAGCTTGCAAGTTACCAGAATAGCTTAGGAACCGAGTTCAATTTGTAAGATTTATCACTATGCAATAAGCTTTTCATCATATTTAGATGATTCATTCGTTTTCAATATTTCCAATGAAGTGTATTGAAATTAAAATCAGGTGTTTATCACTACCGATATAGATTTCACAGAAACGTGTATATATATAATATGCATTATAGGCGGTGATTATTCATATTGTTATATCTTAAAAGTTGATTTCTCGATATACCGCGTATAACAGAGCACTAGAACACCAAACTCTTCCAAGTCACAGTAAGAAGACAGAAGACTAATGAAAGGAATATTATTCCAACCAGTGTCAATCATAGTACAAAATTGTCAGGTATTTATAGTTTTTTAGTGAGAACGAAATCATTACAGTCCTTCAATCCGCATACAAGGAGTTATTAGCATTGTCCAATCGGGGAGCTACACGTTGGAATTCTAGAATATTCTTCCGAAGGGTGATTGGATGAAACGTCTCTGGCTCCTTCTGAGCCTCCTACAGCTACTTCGAGTTCACCGGTGGTCCGTCGTCACACATATCTACAATGTAGCTCATATTGAAAAGCCTATTCATCATCATGTTACCACCTTATACAAATAAATCGATTTGCTTTAAAGTACTACCTAACATAGACGTTAAAGTATGTTGTCATGTAATACCAATTAAAGCTTTCCTATTTTTAATGCGAAACATGAACATGTGATTTTTTGAGTGGATATGTGTAGAGTTTTAAACCAGAAGTTCAGTCATCAAGCGGGCTCATTACAATAGTTAATCAATGACATCCAATATATATACTCGTACGTTTATATCAGTAGTAAGGAGATGTCTTTCAAGTGAATAAGTTGTAGTAACATCTCGATATAACCATCTGTCAGTGTTGATTACATTAAATTCAAGACAAATTCTTCATTATATGTATCACAAAGCGAAAGGACACTAAACAATAAGCCATTTTGTATAAATTAGCATTTAAAATTAAACTACTAATGAGTAGTCAAAGTGACTACATAGACATTCTAGGACTTTTAATGTCTAATAGAAGTAAACATTGTAGTGTTTGTCTAATTCTTATTAAGCATAGAATTCTGTCAGTAACGTTTGAATATGATGACTAGTCTAAATGATTCGACATTTAGTGAAAATACGTGAATATTAGCTTAAATATTATGAAACATAAGTTTAGGGAATATTGTATGATAAACAGCGAAGCTAATCCGTGTCGGTTAGAGACAGGTATTTACCTCAGTACAATGAAAGATTGTCGCACGATTTCTTGGATTGTTTGAGGTTATACATTAAGATCGTTGGATACCGGCCAGCTCGGGTGGTCTAGAGGTTAAACGTTTGTGCGCGAGACTGATGGCTCTGGGTTCGAATCCCGTGAGCAGGATCATGGGATGCCCATCGATAAGGAGTCCCATAATAGGACGAAACGGCCATACAGTGCTTCCAGATTTTCAGTAGTGTTCTTAAATCAGTCAGTTTATGATCTCAATCGAAAATAGCGAATAACTGAACAATTAATACACTCCTATTTAAATTTTTGGATTAAGATCATGAACCGATTGATGTTAGACCATCACAATTGGAAACCTGGAAGCACTGGACGGCCATTTCGCCCTATTGTGGGACTCCTCAGCAGTGCGCCCTCGGGATTCGAACCCAGGGCTTTCGGCCTCGCGCGCGAACGCTTAACCAACTGGATCACTGAGCCGGCATCCAATGGTGATAGTTTCTAATATCAACCAATCCACGAAATCGTGCGACCAACTTCCGTTGTTCTGAGGTAGATATCTGTCTCTATCCGACAAGGATTAGCTCCACTGGTCACGGCTTCTCATTAGAACTTCGAGAATTCCCTCACGAAGCTATTCACTAGTGAGCACATGTTGATTACTAGTATAGGGGTTGTGGAGATTATTAAGTTTTTGATTGAGATCATGAATTTAAATTATTGATTAAGTATTCTGAAGATTTGATTTTACAATGTGCATTATTTATTTAGCTTACTATCTGTATACTCTTTAGTTGACTTTAAGTTAGTTAGTTGAAGGTATTCAGTAGGAAACTATTGAACTGAATTCTTTGTTAGTTGACATTTGTTAGTAGGTAATATATTTAACCTGGAAGAGACTATCGACCGTTTGTGAATTTAAACTTAAATCAACCAGTCTCAAAATCTGAAGAATTGTTAATGAACTATTAGCTCCATAATTAATCCCTTTTGAGATTAAAAGATATACATTGACCGATTATTGAGTAGTAACTAATGTCATATATGTCTATTCCTTAATGCTGATAGAATTCTCTCAATCTAGTTGAGATTTAAGTGACTTTATAAATGAACCTTTTTTGGTTTCACTTAACTCATTCGAATTTATTCTAACAAGAGAGCTGGTACTCACAGATTTCTCATTACATAAGAGGATAGAAACTCTCTGACTATACTATTCAACCCAGTATTACCATTCGAATCGTTTTCTTGAATCATAAATTATTATACATGATCATGAAAGCAGTATACTTACACAACTAAGACTATTTAGCTTCAATTTAAAACAAAAGGTCATATTGTATTGAACAAATCCATTCAATAAGCCATATGTCATGTAAAACCTATTATATGTGTACATTGATTCAAGTTGTTATATCTCATTAACATGGTGAAATGAAACTTTTAAGATCAATCTGAAAGTAGTCGAGGTAGAAACAGTATTTTATTGTTAATAGATAAGATTAGGCATTGAAAGTAAATTGCCATTAATTCAGATACTTGGGATGTAAAGAAAGACAAAGGATGAATGTATCTTCGCCATTGCAGACGATTCTGAAACACATTATTGAAAGTATTGAAACAATTTATTAATAATTTTAATAGTTGAGATTGTGAATCAATTGAAGCTAGACCATCATGGAAAACCTGGAAGCACTGAACGGTTGTTTCGTCCTATTGTGGGACTCCTCAGAAGTATGTCCCCATGATCCTGTTTCGCGAGATTCGGACCCAGGACCTGTCAGTCTTGAACCCGGACAATTAACACTTCGGCCACTCAGCTGGCCGGCATACAACAATGTTAATGTCTAACTTCAAATAATTCTCGAAATTGAGCGACACACATCATTGTCATCAGTGAGTTACTATCTCACAACAGATTCGATCTAACTTCACTGTTCACTGCTTTTCACTAGAACTCCAGAAAAGATACGTCTTACATCCAGTCACTAGTGCACATATTTTGATTAATATCAGAAGGGGTTTTGTGAACTGAATAACGGATAGAAATTGATAGAGTTGACTTTGAGCCACATTCTAGGTATAATAAGACCTAATAATATTACCCTCAGATTGTCTAAATCGAAGTAGAATTCGAACCTACTATCTGATATGATGGAAAGAAAAGTCAATTTTCGATTGAATCACTCGTTATGAGTTTTATTCAACATTCAACATCCATTTTGATTCAACGTGACGATCATTCAGTGTAGTATTTGATTTGTTTTCTTCGTCGTATGATATTTTATTCTGTATAATATGCGCTACTCTTGTATTCCATTGACATGAACTATGCTCACAGTCTGTGATTTGTTATAACTGAGTATGTGATTTCATCCTAATTATTAATCAGAATGGGTGTACAATCAATATATAAATGAGTGTATTTTAGACTATTTTGATCATCATCGTCGTCATGGTGTTTTGGGGCTAATAAATCTTCACTTATACCAGTCTTGTGGTCTTACTTTCGCATCGTGGATATTGCCGAGTATAAGTGATCAGCGTTTTTTTCCGGCACAACAAATGGGACGAACCGATATAACACTATCTAGTAGTATGAAGATTGAACATCTTTAAATCACTAGAGAACTATTGTCAGTATTCAATCACATAAACATCAAAATAAACAAATAATACAAGAAAATACAGATTGATTGAACAAAATCATGTTTGTTTTTTTATTCAAACTTAACACAAACACATAGGGATAAATGAACAAAATGAGAATTAAAAAAAGCTAAACAATTAAGGACAATTTGAATAGTTGATATCATGAGTTTAATTAAATCTAGATCACTATGGAAAACCTGATAGCACTAGACAATTATTTCGACGAAGGCTGCTCCTGAAGAGTCTTACAATAAGAACGAAACCAACATTCATTGTGTCTAAGTTTTCCATAATGATCTAGCACTTTAGAATTCATTCAACTATTATTCAAATGGCTAGAATATTCATAAAACTACCCCCCCAACTTTTTTTTCTCTAATACTTATTTGATAATAAAGTTATGATTTATGATTAGAGAATTTTTCAATAATACACATTAATTCTTTGATATCTTCTTGACTACCAAGAAATATTGCTGAACGATCATGTATATGATTTGGTTGTATATCTAAGATAGAAATTTTACCATTTGTTGCTAAACCACCAGCTTGTTCTATAATAAATGCCATTGGATTACATTCATATAATAATCTTAGCTTTAAAATAAATATATAAAAGAAAAATACAATTAATGAATAAACAAATAAATTAATCAATTAGTTGATATTATGAATTAATTGAAGGTAGATGATCATGAAAAACTATGGAAGCACTGGATGGTCGTTTCATCCTATTGTGGGACTCTTTTTACTAGTATGTAGCCGCGAAGGGGCTCCATGCGGAGTAGATAGGAGATATATTGAGGAAAGCAATGGATTGCGTCATAAGGCGAGCCCTCATCACTTGGAATCCTCAAGGTCAAAGGAGAAGAGAAAGATCAAAGAACCTAATACGCCGAGTAATCGTGACAGATATGAGAAAAATGCACAACAATTGGATAGAACTAGAAAGGAAGGCTTAGGACAAAGTTGGTTGAAGAATGCTGGTCTGCGGCCTATGCTCCATTGAGAATAATAGGCGTAAGTAAGTTTGACCATTATAGAAAACCTAGAAACATTGAACTGGTGTTTCGTTCTAGAATAGGACTCATAAGCAACTTTGCTATTGTGTACAAAATCTTAACCTCCAGATCACTGAGCTAGGATAACTTTATTGAGTGAGTATTATCCATTGTCCATGATGGATAACTTCCTTACATATGACATGATTGAACTTTATTGGTCACGACTCCAGGAGGTACATCTTGGAAGTAGTCAGCGGTAAGCACGTGATCATTAGTAGGAGGGGATTTTTCTAGAGATTTTCGAGTGTTACTGAGCTATCTAGTATATTCTGATTGTCAATAGCTGTCTAATTTCGATAAATGAGCTATTGTTTCACCATAGGGATTAACATAAAATGTCAGTGTAAATACGAAGATTTTAATTCATCTCTGTAAAATTGCATTTATCATAAGACTAAGATGAGATGTTCACTTCTTTATCTCAAAGAGCTAGTATACTTACATAGCACCAGTTTTCTCTCAAGTAGTAAATTATACTAATGATATAGGACCTCGAAAGATTGAAGACCCTTATGCATAGCCAGTATTTGATTATGAAAATATCTTCATATATATCATTGTAACCACTGGAAAAACGTGTTTCCCTTTTTTTTTCAAACTGTCTCGCGAGCAAGATCAATAAGTTCCGGGTTCGAATCTCGCGAGACAGGATCGTGGATACTCACTGCTGTGGAGTTCCACAATAGGACGAAACGATTGTCCATTACTTCCACGTTTTCCATGATGGTCTAGCTTCAATTAACTCATGATCTCAACTATTGATATTTCTTCTATGTTTATAAATTAAATCATCATTTATATCATAATATTTCGATTAATGTTCAGCTTAATAAATAGAATTAGATCAATATTGAGGACAATACAAATGTGATATTGATTACTCTGCTTTTCAACTAGTGATCAGTTAATTTTACATTTTTCATTATCAGATTGTTTAGTTTATACTTGCTTGATATAAATATAAACCGTGACAACTTGTATATTTGTCAGTCATAGAGTTGTGGAAATTATTAAATTTCATTGAAATCATAAGTTGATCTAATTTAGAAAACTATTGTAAACGTAGAAGTACTGAACAGACATTTCATCGTAGTATGGGACTCTAGGTAGTGCGCACTCACAATTCCACATGCGAGAATCTAACACAAGATCTTTGGTCACTGAGTCGGAATTCAATAGTGTTAATGCCTGACCTCAATTAATCCACGACATTACGCGACCATCTTCCATTGTCTTCGGTGGGTAACTTCTTCAACACTCGATACAGTTTAACTTCACTGTTCATGGCTTCTCACTAGAACTCTGAAAACTTCCACTATAAGCTAGTTATGAGTGAGCATATGATAATTATCAACATGGAGTTGTAAAGATCGTTGAATTTAGTTTATAATTAGTAACCTTAGCTAGATCCATGTTGTTTACAAAACTCACTTTATGATCTTCTTAAGTTAATAAGCAGATTAATGATAGTAACAGATTGTTTAACTAAATATTTTTGGTAGTGGTACGTTTTTATATTTTTGACACAGTAACCATTTCTTTTAGATCCTGCTGATACACTAAACATATAGTAACAACAGAAAAAAATGTTGGAAAATTATATTAATCTTGGATCATTAGTGTTCAAGAGCATCGTTCATTTACGCCGTCTAGTAGAACACAGTAAGAGTTGTGAATTCAGTTACCGATTCCTAGTTGTCCACACCATTGAAGAATACTTCTTCGTGAGGTGCTTAAAAAAGAAAGTAGATTAAAGGTAGTCTTGATGAACTGAGAAGGTGATCACAGAGGCCCAAATGACATATTCGCCTTTTTGATGAATAATTCTTGATGTGTCAGCTTTGCACAATTAAGGACACATCGCCAGCAATGGGAATCTGTGAAGTAATGGGAAGTGTGTTATTTTTAAAATCCCTGAAAATGCTATGTGTTTAGTTGAAACTTACTATTGTTACTTTCCGGTACAGTCATCAATACGATTCCACTCTAAGATCTGAAGTGGCTGCTTTTAGTCGCCAACAGACCTATCTGGTGTGTTAGGATCTAAAGTAACGAGTGTTCTAGCCAATATAACGCGACTACATCATCACAATATCCAAGTCAAACCACTATATCAAGGTAGCAGCTACGACCAGGGCTCACTTTCTGTTTTCTATAAAATGTAGCATTCCATAACGACAAACTTGTTTACTCATGTGCAATATTATCTACCATGTGGAATAAACATAATAACGCATGAGTAAGCAACCATTTACCTTTCCTTTAGGAGATTGTTTTGTACTTGGGTAAAGAAAAATTCCTCCATAAATTAATGTACGATGAACATCAGCAACCATAGATCCACAATAACGTGCGCTATAAGGTTTACCCGACTATTAGGAGAAAAAAAACAAAATCATGGAAACAATCAACAATTTCAGGATGAACTATAAAGAAGAATAATTTAACTGATAGAAAGACACAAATGAAAAGTTAATGAACAGTCGCTATTTATATTTAATGCATAAGCAAACACACTACTATGATATTGAAGGGCTGGAGTTAGTCAACAGGAAACCTTAGATTTGATTATATTGTTGGTTAGTAGTTGTCAGAAAAGCTCCTTCTGCAATTTCAACCTATGACATTCAACTTCATAGTTAGAGACGTTCCTAATGCATTATTTAGTCAGTTAGAGTAAATATATAGCTTTTAAGGTGAAACTAAGGCATACACACATAATCGTCGATATAGGCGTTATATTCAAATACATAGAATTTAGTATTAGAAGGGGTTTTATGAATACTATAGTAATTTTAATAGTTGAGATCATGAGTCAATTGAACTTAGACCACCATGGAAAACCTGGAAGCAATGGGCTGTCATTCCGTATGATTGTGGGACTCATCAGCAGTGAGTATCCACGACCCTGCCTCGAGAGATGCGAACCCAGAACCTATAGGTCTCGAGCGCTAGTGCTCAACCTCTTAACCACTGAACCGGCACCCAACGATAGATGCGCACTGCCGAGGAGTCCCAAAATCGGACGAGACGGCCGTCTAGTGTTTCCAGGTTTTTCATGGTGGTCTAACTTCAATTAATTCATGATCTCAACTATTAAAATAAAATAGAAATTACTTCAGGAAATTTTTTCATTCGAATATATTCTGTAATAGCATCATCCCAAAGACTTGCATAACCTTCATTAATTGAATAAATATTTCCACGTGGTTTAATAGAGATATTAGGATGTGTCAATATGAATTCACCAATTGCCTGAAATAAAAATATTAGACAAAGATAAAATCAGTTTGTACAGTTAATATAAATATTAAAGAATATAACTTGAAATGGAAAATAAGCAAAGATGGATAATGGTTAGCAGTGGAATCCAAGACGCGCGTTTCGTCCTATTTGGGACTCGTCACCTAGATGTACGTGCATCGCAAAGTTAATGTTCACTCCAAAACTCCACTGCTAGCCACTATTCATCTTGGCTTAAAAAGCTTGTGACTTAAGACTATATCGAGGCAATCCGCACAGGATGTACATAGGCTATAAAGAGATTGATCAATTGCAGTCCTAAATAGCAATGGGAAAATACAAGTAAAATACACCAAATGAATTGCAATAAAAAATCGGTTAGAAATACTGTTTAAAAATAAAGGTTCCAGTTTCTTGACGATGTTGTATCAGACAAAGAGCATCACTTACAAGATAAATCACATCAACTGTAAGAAATATTACATCCGATATAGTGGACGACCCCTTTATCTATTCATATATCAACAAAAATTATCAATGAATCGACAGGAGATAATATCACCGGTAACAATGGATGAATTCTGTGAGGAAGGCTCACGGGTAAACTCAGTAAAACTCTAAGAAGCTCAAAAAACCGAATATATACCAGTTAATCATCTTTTGGAAGAATATTCCAGAATCCCTGTGTATAGCTTCTCTATTGAACAATTGCTGGTAACCCCTTGTATGCGGATTGAAGGACTATAATGATGATTTCGTTTTTAATAAAATTTATAAATACCTGACAGTTCTGTACCATAATTGACACTATTTGAAATAACATTCCATTCACTTGTCTTCTGTCTTTTCATTTGCGATTTTGAGGGTTCTAACGTTCGAGCGCTCAAGTTATACGCGGTAGATTAAGAATCTAAGCTCTAAATATAACAAATTCGTTTGCAGAAACATCAATATTTTGGATTATATAAATCCCACGGATACTAGAGGATTTCTAAAACAATGCTATTCAAATTATTTAGTAATTAACAAACACATCAACATAGACCCAAATCTTTAGGCTCATACAGAAAAGAGCAATCGATCACAAGGATAGAGATCAATCAAGAAAGACAATCAACAGGAATGCAAACATAAACGAAGATAATAAAATCTACAACAAACAGCTAGTTACAAACGAAGTCATTTGGATGAATGGATAAAACACTTTTCGAATAACTTGAAAGCGGAATTTTACATAGAACAGGCACTGAGGATGTTTTTTTCTCCAAAACGAGAATAAAAGCTAAACAATGAAATCGTCTCGCTCTAACAAAAACATTCATATGAACGGCGACATTTTCTCTTTTATTCCATATGTATATATATAACGTTGTAAAAAATGGGTTTCTTATTTACCCACTAGATAATAAATAATAGAACTTGATGCCCATAACAATAATAATAATAATGAGTATCCTTTACTGATGACACGTTCAAGTCTAATGAGGATTTTTATGTGAAATAGAAAACCAGGTAAGGGATATTTATTTATTTAAACACATAAATATTGGTACGAGAAGACACCTAACAGATATGCGCCACAAGTCACTTGATTTGTGTGTGAGATGTGATATTGTTCGGGTGACCGAACAGAAGCAGTTGGTTTTCTTAGGGGGTCACACCCGGAGCCTTTGACCTAAAGGTCTGATCCACAAGACAGTGGAGCAACTTAAGGAAATGCAGTCCCACGGTAGCTGGTGACCAATAATTCGTTCATACACCATTTGTTTTTTCAGGATACTGGAGCACATGTACACCATTGGTTTAGAATCAGAGTTTTCCAAATTCCCTAGGTGGACTATCCATATCCACCAACCTGCTTAAAGCGCCAGACATTCGCTTTTTGTCCTCTCAATTTCGTAAAAAACACCCCGGCCACGAGAAGGCAGTGAGTAGGACATCCCTATCAGTGGTTGTATGCGCATGGCTATGTGAGAGCTGGCCTTCGTCATTCTCGGCTGTACCAGGGTATTTGTGGGCAAATAAAGGATAACTTGTATCGTATCAAAAGTTAAATAAATCTATCAATATCCAATAAATAAAAATTTCAAAAATTGATAAACACGGCAATATTAAAGAATAGAAGCAATGATTCATTAATTTCTTAAGATAAATTAAATGTTCATTATAGCTTTTGAAATCAAAGATTTAACTCCATCAGTATTCATCCATATAACAACAAACTACTATTCAAGTCTATTCCTTCTAATCCTTATTCTTGAGATGAAATCTTAACTCTCAACATTTTAAGCCTGAACACCGATTACCACGACGTATCGGTGTTGGAGATGGTTGGAAGAGAGTTAGGAGCGGCCAAACCAAAACGTGGCATCAGTCACTAAGTTCTAGTCTGAGTCATGTTGGTAGATGCAGACTACTTGGTTGGGGTCCGCGTGACTATCGTAACCAATGGTTGGAGACTCTTGGTGACATGGCTCAGAATCGATCACAATGGCGTCGGTATATATACTCTCTGTCTTCCGTTAAACTAAGAGATTAAAATGACTCCATATCTTTCTTTCTGTACTATATTCTTATTGCAATCTTTCTCCTATATATTACCACATCTGAATTAACTACTTTTATGAATCCGGTGTCCATCTTGTTGTGTTAATTAGGTATGGCATCTTGGACCGATGCATATATGTGCCTGGTCTTACGTTGTAGCTGACTGACTTCATAAATTATCCATTGATATTAACTTTCATTTGATTGATTAAAAATTGGCTTTACATTCTGTTACGGTGATTTTAAGAGTTGTTGAATGCCATCAGTAAAGTATACTATTTCTCATCACAGTAATGATAATAATAATAATAAATGGAATAGTTCAAGCTTACTGGATCCAATGTAAAACCATGTACACCAGTTCCAACAGTTAAAACAAACATTGTAGCACTACCGTATAAAGCATAACCAGCAGCAACAGCTTGACGGCCAGGTTGTAATGCTAGTTTATGAGATATTTCACTTTTCTCATTATTTAATGATGAACGTAAAATAAGAAATATTGAACCAATTGAACCTAAACAATCAATATTTGATGAACCATCTAATGGATCAAAACAAACAATATATTTTCCCTACAAAAAGAAAACAATGAATAAAAGATGATCGTGTTGTAGAAAACTGATAGGAAATAGCCTCATGAAAGTTATTATTTGACACAAATTGACGATAAAGTTGATGTAACTCACAAAAAGGTAGAATTTAAAGAGAACTCTACCAAATCCTATAGGATAGTTGATCAAAATATGGAGAATAAACTAGAAGCTGTAAAAATTTGAGAATTATGGATGGAATAGCTCACTCAGTGATGATGCAAGTTCAGATTCTACAAAAACTACCAGTTGCTAAGAAACTGCAGTTATACTTTGTTGATGAATGCTGACTAGGACGAAACCTAAACCTAGAGTATTCTCTCGACTGCCTTTAACGACCTAACATTATATACATTGTAATTCTGACATGTGGCCAGCTTCAAACAATTTTCATATAATCATCTGGTTTCAATAGTCCTACAATACTTGAACAAGGAAAATGGAGCCTTTCCAAGTGAATGATATTTGATTGTTATGAGGTTATATCTCAGTACTGTTAAGTCTACTCTCCCTTCATTCACTTTAGCTAGAGATGTTGACGTGCCTTTACTTCAACACCTGAATCTGAAACAAAACTTATTTTACAGGAAGAAAGGTGATAAACCGAGTGAATCAGACATTTAAGTTGAAGGCCACATTATATATGGAAGATGTTGATAGGTCCAAGTGAGTGGACAATATTTGGCTCAATTTTCTGGAAGAAACAGATCTACAATAATGACTTGAAATTTTCAAAATGATACATTTGTACACACATCTGGATTTGGTAAGCGGATAAAAGCTTCCTAATCACACTTGGTTTTCTCACTCAACAAATAGGTTGGCCTCGTATTCATCTAACAGTAATATAAGTATTAATATCAGACCACATAATACACATACAACTGCCACATGTCTAACATATACAATTTGAAACTTAATATAAGAACTCCATCTTAACTAATACCGAGTTATTAGCTATCATAATTTATAGAGGACGTGAAAGCGACTTGAAGAAAGTTTACCTACAGCCTTGATCTTGTTGTGTTGATGAGGTATGGCAACTTGAACCAATACCTATATGTGTCTGGTCTTACGTTGTAACTGACTGACTAACTGATAATGACAAAATGCAGATTAATCATACGGATGAATGAATTTTGCGCCAAAATTCAAAGTCTGCTATCATAAATCTGATTGATTTGTCCATTATACTACTAATTAAACTTACATAATAAGATATCTAAAGTTCAGATCATGAGTCAATTGAACCTAGACCATCATGTAAAACCTGGAAGCACTGGACGACCATTTCGTCTGCTTGTGGGACTCCTCAGTGGAAGTGCGCATTCACGATCCTGTCCCGCGAGATTTGAACCCAGGACCTATCGGTCTCGCGCGAGAGCGCTTAACATCCAGACCACTGAGCTGGCCGGCATCCAACGGTGTTAATGTCTTACTTCAACTAATCCATCAAATTGAGCGACACATCTATCACTATCTTCAGTGAGTTACTATCTCACAACAGATCCGGTTGAACTCCACTGGCCACTGCTTCTTACTAGAACTCCATGATATACCTCTTGCAAACAATTGTCCAATAAGCTGAAATTCAAATTATTTAATTAAATATATCCCTACCATTGTTTTAAAATAAACCTGTTTATTATTAATAATAAGATAGATGTGTATTTATAAACCAACTAGGGAGTTGTATTAGTGAATACAATCACGGGTCATATCATGTTTCTCAGTTTTAATTTATTGTTATCCAGTAATCAACTACAAGTCTATATGGTTGACTTTGATCTAAACCGGTTCTTATGTAGGATTTAGTGATAAAATACTGATTGTACAAAACGAAGTGAATTTTATATAAATTAATTTAATAAAACAGATATTTACATTCTATACACTCGTTAAGTTTCCATAATAAACGCTCAATTCGATTTCTTAGCTGCTTCTAACAACACCCGAACTCAATTTACACAACAACCTGAACATAAGGAATAAAGCGTGAAGTGTGAAAAGAATGCTTCACTTCAATATTCCTTCATGGAGTTACAAACGACCTTGGGCATCTGTGGAGTTCTGCAACCATACTAAATATATCAGCATAATGAGTAAATATCCAATCAGAAACATGATAAGTGACTCTTCACTTCCTAGATGATTCTGAGAAGCATTTATCCAATACTGATTGGATAAAACGTCTCCTATGGACTTTTTCGAGGAATATTTTGGAACCCTTCAACAGTCCTTGTTTATCACCAATCGATTGATAATAATAATAATTATTATTATTTCAACACATAGATATTGGTACAAAGAGGCACCAAATACATATGCGCCACACAAATCTCATTCGATATGTGTGAGGGCCCGGGTGCCCAGACCGAACCAGGTGGTTTTCTTAGGGGGCCACATCCCGAGCCTTCGACCTAAAGGTCTGATCCACAAGACAGTGGAGCATCGTAAGGAGATGCAGTCCCATGGAAGCCGGTGACCAACAATTGGTTCATACGTCATTTTTTCCCGCAGGATACTGGAGCCCATGTGCACCATTGGTTTGGGATCCGGTTAAAGCGCCAGACATTCGCTTTTCGTCCTCTCATTTCCGTAAACAACACCCCCGCCACAAGAAGGTAGTGAGTAGGACTTCCCTGGCAGAGGCTATATACGCGAGGCCGTATGAGAGCATTTCGAGAGGGAGAGCGGACTCTCCCCACTCTCGGCCGTACCAGGGCATTTGGGGGAATATTTTGTAACTCTTCAACAGTCCTTGTTTATCACCAATCGATTGATAATAATAATCAATATTAAAGCCTCATATATCATATTAAGTTAGCATTTAGAGGCCCGTTGATCTGACTACAATTTGAATGTGTGATGACATCAACAAAATATACATCCCGGCTACCCTCGTATATAATTATCGAGTTAATTAGCGTTGAATATTAACAGAATGAAAAGGGTCAAATGCGTGAATGAGTTTTGGATACCTATATTTCATACACTCGTTACTCCAGACAGATAATATGAGAAACGAAAAGAAGAATCAGATCGGAGAAAGGAATAGTACAGACTCCATTTGATAAAATTTGATTCAATACCTATAGTCAGACAAAAGTAAACCACAGACACATGATGAATACGGTAAGAGATACACACATAAAAGCTTATATAAGACGTTAAGGTTAATATAAGCGAATAATTGCTAATGTTAAAATGTGACTCAAGAAAAATAAATAAACTTGTTTGTCAGTAAGCTAGAGTAACTTATGTGGGCTTGATATAGTACTAGACACTACAATCACAAGATTGAGTTAATAAGATAAATGGCAAAGGAGTTAAAATAACTGTAGTAACAATGATAGTGATAAAGATAAAACATTAGAGATAGTTTAAGAAAACAAGATGAAAAGATAAGCATCAACAAATGCTGGAACTCAAGATCAAGGGGAGTGAATCCATCTGCTCATTTCGATTGATTCTTAGCTACACAACTTAATATTCTTAAACAATGACTGTAGTCATCACACAGACCTCAAAAAAGATAGTCTGCACCTACCAACATGCCTCAGACCAACAGTCAACCATCTTATGAGCTAATGTTACGTTTTGACTTGGTTGTGCTTGGCTCTCTTTCGATTTGTTTCTACACCAACCAACTTTGAGCATCGAAGTAGGAGGTAATCGAGGATACACAAACATGTTTCAATTACTTCAGCCTTTAATTGACAACGAGACATCTTTGCTACGACACAAAGAGATGACAGTTACCAAATACTAGCCGAGCTTTCTGAATCGGTACCGAGATTTCATCAGACATCAACCCAGTAGGGTTAAGTGAGACTCTAAGAAAAGTGACATGGAAAGTGAAAGCAACTACTTCACTCCTTATGATAAGTGTAAACGACGGAGAAGGGCAATCCTAAAGAAACAATTTGTGTTTATATTTAGAGAATCAGATCGCAAATATAGCTGCTTTATTACTCACAGACTTCAAAAGATGCTTCATCTACAAAAAAGCAGAACTATACCATCTGTATAGTATAAATCAATAATTGTACTTGCTGGTAGGAGACCAATCCATGTGATTTATAAGAGGATATCGATGAAGGCATTAAATAAAAAGAGGAACAACTGGAAAACCTGACGAATATCAATTAAAGTTGAAAATTCTGGTGACAGTTTGTCATTAGCTCTAAATCAAATTATAGTGTTTGCATAGAGACCCATCACAAGGTTTATGCATATATTCGGTATATATTTTAACAATAGACAGACAGAGAGACATTGTCAAAAAACACTCCTGATTAATTGAGTCAGATTCGCCATTTAAATTTAAGAAATTAAACTACTGTAGTGAACAAGAACATCAGTGGGGACAATCAAATGTATTAGACACAAAATTACAGAACTTGTTAATAAAATCTAACAATCGTAAAGTAAATGCTTAGTCCACCAAATGTCTCAAAATGACCCAAACTTCATTGTCCTTGCATTTTCATACAAATTGCATCCTGTCCGATTCTTTATTATTCGATCCTGTTGTCTTTCTGCTACCAGACCTTCTGTTGACGACTAGCATCATATACTACTTATGTCAATATAAGTAGCACACCCTACACTACAATCACGGAGGAATGGGTATACATAATGGTAATAATTGATAAAATAGTGACCTATTTAGTTGGATTTCATTCGGATTATAATTTATCATCCATATGATAAATGAATTGATAATGCTTATTATATGTGACAATTTAATGGTTAAAAAATGACCTAAAATCAATGCAATATAAATGGTTGAATAGTTTTCATATTATGATGTTCATCACTCTTAACAATGAGATTAAAACAACCAATATATTAAATATACATTTTGAGACGTGATCAATGAACTGCTTACTAGGAAATATGGATAATCTTTACTAGTGATTGTCTTATTGATTAAGAAAACAAATCAAACTAATGTGCACGTTAGGGGACCAAGTAAATAACTAAGATATAAAGGAGATCGCTAACGTCTTGAGTAACTCAGTGGGAACATATATATGATTGTGAACTTGAGTGACTTGGGATTCAACTTACACGAGAAATATCAATCACCTGAAGATTAGAGATATGTTTTGGTAATATTTATGAAATAGTAAGAAACAAGTCTATGGCTTCTAATCCAATTAACTTTAGCCATTAACTTAATATGTTCAATGCTATAAGTTCAAAAATATTTACTGGTGAAGTTGAGTCATATAGAAAATGAGGCAAACATCACCTCAATCGATGAAGATTCACAAACTTACCAACAGATTTGTTATGGTTTAATAAAAAGAACCCAATATCGTCCTATTCGTTACTCGTCGGTTGACAATGCTCGTCAGTCAGGAATGATTTGAAGACACTATTTGATCAATATCCTACTGACCCATGAACTTCCCCTATTTTTAAAGATCTAATTTTACATCCACAAAGTAAATCAAAGTATACCAATGTGCAATATATTTGCTACTTGGTTAGTAGACCATATATCTTACCTACGGCATAGATGACGTGAGTTTGTAAAAGCCAACGGAGATTTCAAAATACATTTAAATAAAAAAAGTAAATTTCTTTGATTAAAATTAAATCTATAAGTATTCTATGTAGATTAATTTTGATACTTTATGAGTCAGACCAAGTTTAGAAGATTGCAACTTAAAATAAGAATTCAGCGACCAAATCACTGACCACTGGTCATAGCTAATCACTAAAACTCTGAGAATTTTGTCTTGAAGCCAGTGCATAATAATTATCGGAATAAGGAAATTTGTGAAATTTTCGAAATTTTCATAGTCTAAATCACAAATTGATCCTAGATACACCACTGCTGAGAACTGGGAAGCTCTGCGTAGCTGTTTCATTCTAGTACATGACCCCTCAGCAGTGCGCACCACGATCAGACCGGCTGTGAGACAGTTATTTACCACAAGAAATGGAAGGTCACAGTCGGTTCAGGCATGTAGAGTTTGAGAGTTCGCGCGCGAAACCAAATGTCCCAGATCTAACTCCCTGTAAAAGGGTAGTAAATATGCACTACTAATGATTTCCACACTAGCATGAAACAACTGTATAATGTAATTCAACAAAGAAAACAACTGTGTAGTGCTTTCTAATTCTCAGTGGTGATGTAGTTATGATTAGTTTGTCATTTAAATTAAGAAAATTTCGCAATCTCTACAATCCCCCACTCATATTAACAAATTTTTAATCTATTAGAAAGTGAGAGGATTTTGAAACTCTGATTTCCTCCAATCATTTTTGATGTTATAACATGGTTAATTCGTGTTAGCGTTTGGTGTATGAATTCACCTTATTTAATTCAAACTACTTGTTTAGAAATAATTCAACTAAGAAAATTTTCGATTCCAAGATACCATTTACTAAACGTGTACAATCGTATTTCTAGGGAAGTTATATCATAAGGTGTTTGAAGATTTCAAGTATATTCAAAGTAGGTTGAGTAATGGTCGAAAGGTTAAAGAAGATATAGAATGATGAAAATAATCTACAGATTAAAGAAGAGAAGATCTTTGTCCATTTCACAGATATAAAGACATGAAAAACGTTAAGGTCATAATAACAAGTGAGTAATAACTGTGAAAAATTGTTACTAGATAATAATAATAATAATAGTCGGTTCTAAAATAAAGTGAAAAGTAAGCTAGAAAAACTTTTAGGATTACAGACGATTAAGAAGTTGAATGTGATCCTTTTACCCTGTAGAGTTTAGGCTTGAATTGGTGAACTGCCAGGACCTTAGCAATGTACACGTTTTTGTTTCAACCTCTATTTGATCCTGTGTAGATTAGTCACAAAGATAACTTCGGTGGGGGTAATATGCCCAGAGTTGGTGAGATCTTTCTACTGTATCTATCTACTGATTACTTTATTAAATAATATCATTGGAAAAAAAACTTTCCTCATTGGGTTATCTCTCTTCTTTTTTTAAAGAAAAAAGACAAGGCATATTTTTAGGAACTAACATTAATAATTCTGTTGTGTCCCGAAGAGAACTTTTGGGATCCATTTATACACCAATACTGTGCGTATATTTTTATCGTATAATTGTTAAATAACTAAACTATTCATATCCGTGTCCCTCTTATTATGAGCTTTATTTTGACATATGAACTATTATTCTACGATTTACCATTCTTGAATTATACCCTGTCTATCAATTACTATCTCTCATTCACAGCCACATTTGACTAATTCTTGTACAAATATTGTTTCCTATTTTATGGTACGATGTGGTCTGTTTGATTGGCATATGAGCCCAGTATGTTTGAAATATATGGATTCATATGGCAGAGGCTGAGATTGGTGTTCTGGACTTATCTGGCTGGGCTAAGCAGAAGGCAGGACTGGTAAGTACTCTAGGCCTCACTGGTTCGATCGATAAGTCACTGCTCTCTAATTGGCGTTATCATCATGTTATATATTAACAAGGCCCAAAGGCTACAAATTATAACAAATTTAACTCAAAATAATTATTATTATAATAACTAACTCGTTTATCGAATTCCACTTCTATAGCTTCATCATTTTCTTCTGAGATAAGTAAACAAGTTGAATAAGATGATTTTAACATATTGATAAATAAATCATTTGATAGAACATCTAATTTTTTTACATCTTCACCTTGCACATTACTGGAACCGGTTAAACCATAACTAAATAAATAATGAGAAAAATAACATTTGAAATAAAAAAAGAAGGAAAGATATCTGAGATAAGGTTAAGTATGGTAGTTGAATATGTCTTATACAAGAATAATAACAACATAGTAGATGAAGATAGATTCATAGCTTGATTTCATAGCTTTGCTTCTTCAACTCCTTTTAAATGTATATTATGTATTGATAAAGATGAATAGAATAAAATGAATAAGTATGGAACGATTGAATGTTGCTTATTCTGTTACGTTTGATGCTCTTGCTTGAGTCAAATTTATTCATGAGGAATATTGTATGTATTTGAACAAATAAGTGTAAGTTTCTGTTAGTATATTTGTCGAGATTGTAGGATTTCATTAGTATAACTGACAAACTGATATTAACTAGACTACCAATGAAAACTTGGCAGCACTTCATTAGCACAATAAGATAACTACCGAATTCATAGTACATACTTTAATGGTAGTAATATATAAAAGAAAGATTGCATATAAAGATATAATACAAGGAGAAAGAATTGGTTCATAGAAAGGAAAGTAAAAAGTAATTTTAACTTCACGGTTTAAGGGAAGACAAAGAGTGTATACACCTACGCCAGTGTGATCGATTCTGAGCCATGTCCAACCATTGGTTACGATAGTCATGCGAAACAACCAAGTAGTCTGCATTTACCAAAATAACTCGGAGCAGAAGTTAACGACTTTATGGACTGGTGGTGACATGTTTTGGTCTGGCCTCATCTAATTTTTTTCCAACGCTAGTCAGCCGAGACACAATTAGAAAGCAGTCATTGCATAATTGATTTACCTTCTCACACAATTGTATGCAAACTTATGAGTATACTTTGGTTTGACCCAAAACAGGTATTTATTCTTAACATATCCACAAATCAAAGAATAAATAGCTTTCAAAAGGTGCATATAAAACAATATACTACCCAATACTAAAAAACGAAACAATTTCTTGGAAATTTAGCCAATTCTTTGAAACTGTTAACTGTGATATACGCAAAATACTAGTGTTATGAATGTCCTTTAGGATGTATTTTGATAATTCTGTATCCAAATAAAAGTATTATTCCAGACTATTTGGCACAGATATATGTTTACATATGTGTACAAAACGACTTTTATCATTCCAATTTCTAGTACAATAGAATATTCATACATAAGTGAAATACTCAATAATCGATACATATAAAAATCGTTTTCCTTCGCTCTCTGTTTTATTATTCCATTTCATTTTAACACATAGATATTGGTACAAGGAGGCACCAGATACATATGCGCCACACAAATTTCATTCGATATGTGTGCGGGTTGTGATACTAACCGGGTGCCCAAACCAAAGCAGGTGGTTTTCTAAGGAGGTCACACCCAGAGCCTTTGATCTAAACGTCTGATCCACAAGGCAGTGGAGCATCTTAAGGAGATGCAGTCCCATGGTAGCCGGTGACCAACGATTTGTTCGTACGCCATTTTTCCCGCAGGATACTGGTGCCTATGTACACCATTGGTTTGGAATCAGGATTTTCCAACTCCCCTAGGTGGAATCTCCATGTCCACCAAGCCGGTTAAAGCGCCGGACATTCGCTTTTCGTCCTATCAATTTCTTAAACAAAACCCCAGCCAAGAGAATGCAATGAGTAGGACATCCCTGATCAGTGGTTGTATATGTATAGCTGAATTTCCTCACTCTTAACTGTACCAAGACATTTGGAGGGTGGCAACTTAGTTAAAACTATTACTAATTATTTGAATATTGCGTACGCAACATTATATATATATATATATATATATATATATATATATATATATATATATATATATATATATATATATATAAGGCGTACTGTTAAACAAGTTCGTGATCGTATAACAGAACACCATCCGTTTTGGTTGTTCAAAGGACAGATAAGAGCAATTAAGAGTTCTATTCTTGGTCACTTGGTGGACACAGGTCATCAAATTGAACTGAATAAAGCTTTTAAGGTTATCCACCATATTCCATGAAATTCGCTGCATGGTTTACGAGTGCGTCTTTTGCACATTGATGAAGCCAGTGCAATCCATATTCACATACCTAACATTTGCATCCAAAAAAAGGTTTGTACAATCACTGTCGCTACCATGGCCATCGGTATAGGGGAGTTTGTAGCAGAAATTTGAAAAACTGTTTTCGTATTTCTTCCATTTTTGCATTTTACTTATTCACAATATTCGTCTCTTGATTCTTACATAACTACTATACTACTGACCATTCATTAAAATATTCTGTTAGTTCCTTCTTTTTTTATATATTACGCAACGTAGCAACTGATTGATTTTCGAACAAATACTTTTATTATGATTAATCCTCTTTCTTCCAACTTGTAATCGATATGTCGATGGCTTGGTAGACCAAGCCATCCAGCTCAGAGAACAAAACTCCATCAAAAACTAAATACCCTTACAAAGCATAATTTAAATTTTGAAGGTGAATTAGATGTATTACAGCAGCAATTTTAGGAATGGATAAAATTTGAAATCTATGTAATTACCTACTTTTTATTAATTACATGAGTAGATAAAGTGATAACAATTCAAAGCCTGATGTTTAATACCACGATAATAGGTCAAGTGATACAAAAGCCACTTGTAATGAAAGTAAACGCTATTAAGATAAAATTTTGGTTTATGCCATAACTAAACGAGATATAATTAGTAATTAAGTGAATCTTAAGAAAGTAAACATGGCTGTTTTTAATTAAAGCTATTAGAAATCAGTTGAATTCCAAATATTTTGCTTTGCTTCTTTCCAAAAAATACCTGATGAAAAGTGATAGAAAGAATGTTTAAAGCTGAAAATATTTTGAAGGATGCTGTTTATTATGTCCAGCTGAAGTAAGCTAGGATGATCCAAATGTTGGTACAATGATTACAGTACACAAATTGAGCAAATAATAAACTTCGATTGATATCTGAACACATTGGAAAACAAAATCGACTGAATAGCAGTATGTAGGACAAAAATCTATTTTACTAAAAGTGAAAGTGATCTCTAATACGGTGGCATAACTTTAATTCTACTACTGAAGCCAAGGTTTTCTCTGAAATTTGATCTGATTTAGAGTCAACTGCCCAATAATCTACTGGCGTTTTAGTGATTGCCTACAAAGTATGAAAGAAATACTTTAGTATAGATGTACCATCTTTACAAATGAAGTGCATTGGTATAGCTCGGAATCAGATATACAATAATCAACAGAGCTGTAATTTACCTATTTTGATAACTACAAAAATAAATAATCGAGGAGCTAATAATATAATAGGGTTTCTTATATTGCTCATGAGACTAAACGAATTAAGTAAATCTAAAATACGTTTTCAGGACAGATTACTGTTTTTATACAGAAACTGTTTGAAATGATCCAAAGCACTTGGTTTTTTTTATTGGCAATGTGTTTCTACATATTAGTTTTAGATGATAAATTTATTTTAGGAAAAAAAATTAACTGGACAGAATAGGAATCATATAGTGTTGCTATTATATATGAGTCCCAGTGGTCATAGGATCCGATTGTTTTCAAAACTCCAGTCCCAATTTAGGAATAATATTTACCAAAAAGCAAAAGACACTTTTAAAGTGTTAATTCTGACTCTAAAGTAAATATATATAATCAACACCACAGTTGATTTATAAGAAGTTAACAGTTTGCCTGTATATAATGGTAGTAAGTCATTGAAAAGAAATTATAAAATTCAGAAATTTTCCAAAGTCTTGTCGTGATTCTGGAGTATTACTTCGTAGGTTTATACAAAAAAGGTCAGCAAACCAAGACCAGTCAGTATTTGGTAAACGACCAGTTACATATCATAGACACCGACGACCAGAAGATTTCTCAGTACTTAAAAGCGGCATTTTTTTAACTTAGTTCTGATCAATTTTAGTTGTCAAGATAAGTATAGGATTTTCGAATTTGTCTTTAATAATCAATATGACCTCTCAGTTAACAAGGAAAATCCAAAATCTAATCCTTAAATTTGACTGATAATTTGATGTCAAATTTCTTTAAAGTAGGAGTTAAATTGGATTGCAAAATAAATGCTCGGGAGAGTAATATGTTTCAAGTTGCAAATTAGTCTCAGTAAACAACTATTTAGAGCTATATGCAACCATTTAAGAACAAATGTTGCAAAACCCCATATTTTCCGAAAAATATCTTTATATAAATCTATCGGAGCCAACAGTTGACTTTTGAGCACCGTGCAATTCCTAATTGGACAGTGGTGCCACCGTCAACAGTGCCGATAATCCTCAGCGAAAATACCCACATATCGAATGTCTGGTAGTGAATTTTGCCAAAAATCTAAAGTTTGAGACAAAATTGTTTTTAACAGTCAAGTGAAGTCATACTGAAATGATAAAAAAACTGTATAATAACTTAATTAGAAAACTTACAGATTAATCATCCCTGCTTTACGAACAGCTATTGAGACAGCCTTAATAGCTGTTTGCAAGCCATTCATTAGCTGTGTCAGCTCACCTGTAGCAGACGGGAATTTTCTTTGTTCTTGTATAATGAAGCGTGTCAACGTCAAATAGTCAGTTTCAAGTCCTGATTCCGACGACATCGTAACGCACTAACCGAATATGTACTGTAAGAGGATCGTGTAAACAAAATAGTAAAACAAATCCCTGGACTGACACCACTTTTATAACCTATGTTGTTTACTAGAATATAACAGTAAGAGAAAATGTGATGCAAAGATAAGCGTATCAACAGGTGCTATTGATAACGAATTTTTGGTGAATAATTTCAATAATTCATAAATCAGAAAAAATTAACTCACGAGATAACCGGTTGCGAAGGTTTTTTCCTACTGGAAGCTATTGGTTTAAATTATAAGAAGGATCTGTTTAACGACTTAATTTTGACAAGAACGAAATCCATTTGCAATTTGTTGTTCACTGAATAGTGTTCAGGGCGGTTTTTCTTCATTGCTGATTGTACACATGGGTCGAGTCTCAGTGCTAGTGTAAACAGTCTTGAGCTGCTTGACAAACGCGACATTGATCGTTACTCCACGATCAGTCGAGCATAGGTCTATCAGATCAGCAAGGTGATGCGCATCCTCTGTAGATTGATGATGACATTTCAGATTGGGAAGTCAATCAATGCAGTTTCTAATCTATCAGGAAGAACCAGCCCCCTAAAGATTGTGAGCACTCCTAGCAAACGAGTGTCAGATGCATGCGATATAAATCATTACTTGGTGTTTCTGTGAATTCTAATTGTGTCCTAGTATTTTAAAATCGTTATAAATAAGCAGTTAGTTTAATTAACTTTATAGAGCTTTATTTTTGTAGTTAAAACGCCTGATAGAAACTTTTCAACCGCAAACTACTAGATTAAATGTTAGGATGACAGTTTATCAGTGAGGTTATTTCTTGGTGAAAAACAATAGAGCTCTAGTTTTTTCAGAAATTGATTGTTTTTCTTGAAATCTTGCAAGTGGTGACCCGATTTACCATGTACTTGTGGTATAAAACATGACTTCACAATCAATTTCATGCTCAGAATAATGAGAAAATTGTCCGATGACTGAGTATCAGATGAAGATGATTGTATTTTTACTGTCTGTAACCACAGTCAGCCTACATTACCTTATAGGCATACCTCTAATTAGAAACTTTATTTTCGATCTATGAAATGTTAAAATGTAATGTGGCCTGGAGTCCCTCTTGGGGCCACTGCTGGTCCGAAGCCCGGATAAAGGAGGAGGGTTGGGCATAGAGTTAGCGACCCCATCCCGTAGAAAACAAGCACAAAAGGCACTTATAGGATGGGAATCTCATGGACTAAGGATTATCAAAGCCTCATTCAAAACAAAGAAAGAGGGCATTTCAATGAACATCATCCAATGCTATGCGCCTACCAACGATTACAATGAAGACGCTAAAGATCAATTCTACAATAGGCTGCAGTCAATCATCGAGAAGTGCCCAATAAGTAACTGACCATTTTGATGGGAGATTTCAATGCCAAGGTTGGAACGGACAACACTGGATATGAAGACATCATGGGACGACATGGACTGGGAGAAAGGAACGAAAATGGTGAGAGATTTGCAAACCTATGTGCATTCAATAAACTGGTCATAGGCGGCACCATATTCCCACACAAACGCATTCACAAAACCACATGGACTTCACCGCATCACACCACGCAAAACCAAATCGACCATATTTGCATCAACAAAACGCTCAGGAGGACGATTGAAGATGTGAGAACCAGGAGATGAGCTGATGTAGAATCAGATCATCACTTGCTGGCCGCCAAGATGAAATTGAAACTCAAGAAGCACTGGAAAAAAGTTTGATACAGCTTTTCTTCTGGATACTGACAAACTCAAAAAATTCAAGATAGTTCTCAGTAATATATTCCAGGCCTTTCATGATCTACTCAATGGAGAGGGAAGTAATATGGAGAGCAACTGGAAGGGGATCAAAGAGGCAATCACTTCAATATGTCATGAGGTTCTTGGTCACAAGAAGCGCCATCACAATGAATGGATCACTGTTGATAATCTGGATAAGATTCAAGAAAAAAAGGAACAAAAGCAGCAATTTATACCAGCCGAACAAGAGCAGAGGAAGCCAAGGCACAATCTCAATACACAAATTTATACAAGCACATGAAGAGAATCATCAAAAACGACAAACGTAAATATGTGGAAGATATGCAACGACGGCGGAAAATGCTGCAAGAGAAGAAAACATTAGACAACGGTATGACATAACAAAGAAACTCTCTGGAAATCGCCGCAAACCAGAACGACCAGTGAAAAGAAAAGAGTGCGAGGTAATCACCAACATTGAAGAGCAACAAAACAGGTGAGTAGAACACTTCAAGGAACTCTTGAATCGGCCAGCTCCACTGAACCCACCAGACATCGAAGCAGCAATCACGGACCTCCTAATCAACGTTGGCCCACCAACAATTGAAGAAATCAGCATAGCCATCAGACAAATCAAGAGTGGCACAGCAGCAGGACCATACAACATTCCAGCAGAGGCACTAAAATCAGACGTAGTGGCAACTGCATGGATACTCCACATTCTTTTCAATAAGATTTGGGATGAGGAACAAGTACCAACAGACTGGAAAGAAGGACTTCTGATCAAGATACCTATGAAAGGCTATCTTAGCAAGTGTGATAACTACAGAGGTATCACTATTCCCTCAACACCAGGAAAAGTCTTCAACAGAGTATTGTTAAACGGGATGCAGGACTGCGTAGACGCCCAACTTCGTGACCAACAGGCATGATTCCGTAAGGACAGGTCGTGTACAGACCAAATTGCAGCTTTACGAATCACTATGGAACAATCACTTGAATGGAATTCATCACTCTACATTAACTTCATTGACTACGAAAAAACATTTGACAGCGTGAACAGAACAACACTATGGAAACTTCTTCGACAATACGGCGTGCCTCAGAAGCTAGTCAATATCATACAGAATTCATGTGATGGATTACACTGCAAAATCGTGCATGGAGGACAGTTGACAATGTCGTTCGAAGTAAAGACCGGTGTCAGACATGGTTGCTTACTCTCACCCTTTCTCTTTCTCCTGGTGATCGACTGGATCATGAAGACGTCAACACTTGAAGGGAAACACGGGAGACAATGGATATCTAGGATGCGATTGGACGATCTAGACTTCGCAGATGATCTAGCCCTCCTATCCCAAACGCAACAACAAATGCAGGAGAAGATGACCAGTGTAGCAGCAGCCTCAGCAGCAGTAGGTCTCAATATACACAAACGGAAGAGCAATGTTCTCCGATACAACACAGCATGCACCAATCCAACCACAATTGACGGAAAAGATTTGGAAGATGTAAAAATCTTTACATATCTGGGCAGCATCATTGATGAACATGGTGGATCTGATGCAGATGTGAAGGTGCGGATCGGCAAAGCAAGAGCAGCATATTTACAACAGAGAAACTTCTGGAACTCAAAACAACTCTCTGTCAACCAACACCAAGTTCAGGATTTTCAATACAAATGTCAAGACAGTTCTACTGTATGGGGCGGAAAGCTGGAGAACTACGAAAACCATCATCCAGAAGATACAGGTGTTTATTAACAGTTGTCTACGCAAAATACTTCAGATCCGTTGGCCGGACACTATTCGCAACAACGCACTGTGGGAGAGAACAAACCAGATCTCAGCGGAGGAAGAAATCAGAAAGAAGCGCTGGAAGTGGATAGGACACACATTGAGGAAAGCACACAACTGCGTCACAAGACAAGCCCTCACATGGAATCCCCAAGGTCAAAGGAGGAGAGGAAGACCAAAGAACACATTACGCAGGGAAATGGAAATAGACATTATAAGAATGAACAAGAATTGGATGGAATTATAAAGGAAGGCCCAGGACAGAGTGGGTTGGAAAATGCTGGTCGGCGGCCTATGCTCCATAAGGAGTAACAGGCATAAGTAAGTAAGTGTGGCGTCGAGTCGCAGTGGACTATGATCAACACTACAGGAAGACTACGTGGCAGTTAACCGATAAGATCCATCTTAAGCCAAATATCAGAAGGCAGTTGACGGATGTAGTCGATATGTATTTGTTGGCGATCTCGTGGTATCGAAAGGATACCAAGATCGTACCAGTTTACAACTGTGGTCACTGAGCGTAACTAAAATCGTGCAAAGTCACGGGGAATGAAAGAATGTATTTGTTTTGGTACAGTTAAACAAACAAGTATGGTGAAACAATCCCTGGTACAACTGATTATGATAATAATTGTTTCCATTTCACCAATCGCGTTCTCTTGATAAAAGTAGGTCACTACAAATATACGATTTCACGGTTCTTGAGTTATGCTTAATCTATCAATTACTATCTCCCACATTCACAGCCACTTTTAGCTAAATCTTGTACAAATGTTGTTTTCTGTTTTATGGTAATATGAGCCCAGTATATTAGAAATATATGATTCATATCGCAGTGGCTGAGATTGGTGTTCTGGACTTAACAGGCAGTCATGCCATTTTTTACTGCCATTCCCAAATTCACCACTTTTGACCTTCTTTAAGTGCTACATATTTAATGTAAATCTCCTCAGTAACTGCATGTTTAGCTTCAAAGTTCGTGTGGTTATGTCCTCAGACCACTACAGCCTTAGTATTCACCTTTCAAAATCTGTGCAATGACAAAAGAAGATACGGACTGCGTATCCGAGGGACTATTTTACAGCACAACACTAATTTCTACTAAGACAAAGAGTTAATTAAGAATATAAAATGCAAATAATTAGAGGACGTTTTGACAGACCATGCAGCAACTAGAATAAACACCTATTTGTGAGAATATGTATTACAAAATAATCAGCGAACACTTAAGCACATGCAGTCCATGTTTGTTTGGATCGATATAGTAGAAAAGCACTAATTGCACCGTCATAGGGACTCTACGAAGTCACAAAACGAATAAAAGAATGACATTCAGAATGGAAATTTCTAGATAGAGAGACTGAAACCTGGTTTATCAGACAACGAGAAAGATCAAGAGAAGCTTAAGGTAGATAGAAAAGAACTAAACTTACGAAT